TTTCTGGTGAAGCCCTGTGCACCCTGTGACCTTCAGTGAGGAGTAGGACCTTTCCTCCTCTCCACCTCTTTTCAACTCTGTGGCTTGCAGGCCCACGAAGGAAGCAGAAAGGGGGTTGTTTTGATTTTTCTTCCCACACACTGGGACCCTAGCAATGAGAAAAGGCACATCCACTAAAAGTCGTGAATGTTCTTTGGCTTATCAGAAAGATAAGCTGTGGTTTCAGGACAGTTAAATATCTTGGAATCACTCATCAGACCTTCAGCTAGGTAGGGATGGACCCTAAGAAGCTCTCAATTCTGGTGGAGCACAAGAGGAAAGGAGGAGAGGGTGACCCCCTCAGAACCAGGTGAAAGGCGAACATTTTAGCAAATTTCCAAGGCTGAATGGACCACTCTGAGGCCTGAGAACCTCTGTCTCAAGCCTAGTTGGAGTTTGCATGAACTTGAAAAATAATTCCCATAGACCCTCGACTTCACACTCATGAGAGACAGATGGCAGGAGGGGAGGCAAAGAAAGCCCCCCTGGGTCCCCAGCAGGGAGTGACAGCTATGGGCCAGGAAAGGCATGGGGCCCTGTGCTCACCCCACTGCTCCCCAGGTAGCCTTGTCCTCACTGAAGCAAAAGGCTCGCACCCTGGGAGGCAGCACACTGGCCATTCACAGGGCACAGGCTGGTACCTCTTGTTACTTGAGGGCAAATAAAAGATAGAAATCACATCATACTCATGGGGTGGAGGTGCACTGCAGTCCTGGGACAAGGACCCCACCCCGGGGTCATTGCCAGTCTTCTGCCAGGGACAGTGAAATCCTGCACAGGTAGACACTTGCATGCAGGACAAGAGACTGAGGGCTGAGTCCAACAGCCATGTCCAGGCCCCCTGGCCCCTGAGTCCCACAGCTGAACCAGAGAGCAGAGAGTGTTCAGCACCCCACCCCACCCCCTGCACGGCCACTGCCAGCGTATGAAGCCTCAGGGGACCAGCAGCAGAGTGGTGAAGAGGTGGCACCAAGCTGGAGCTGGATCACAGACACTGAGAACAACCTCAGGATGCCATAAGTCCATGGCATGGCTGATGGACAAGCTTGAAGCCACAGCTCCTAGGAGGTGGCCACAGCAAGGACACAACCCAGCTCAGCTGGACACCTGAAGGGAGGGCCCATGCCCTGCAGGGTTACCCTGAGGGAGCATCAACCTTCATATCCAGCCTTCAGTGTGATTGGCACCCATCTCCTAATAGTCAGGTGTCGTGCAGATTTCAGGAACAAATCATAACACGTGGGGACAGTTTTAAAGTCATGAGAAGCAACAGTGTCCAGAGTCCAACACCCCAGGACAGACTCAGAAGTGTTGTAACTCCATGCAGCACCCTCCTAGGTCTCACTCAGTGGTCCTGTTGGGTCCCACCAGGCAGAATAGACCACTGACATCATTCATTCATTGTCATTCTCTCTGAGGTGGCAGCTCCATGGGACAGGGATGTCACCTCTTCATCTCTCTGTTCTCTCTGCTCAACGTTACCTGGCCCACAGGAGTGTACCAAGAAC